AGAGGGTCTTGCATACCACACGCGGGCATTCCGGGTCGGTCAGGACCGACGACGGGCGGCGACTCCGGGTCGGTCGGGGCCGACGGCGGGCGGCGACTCCGGGTCGGTCAGGGCCGACGGCGAGCGGCGCCGCACGCGCGCCGCGTTGTTTCCGGTCCCGAAGTCGCTGTCGACCCCCGCGGCGGCGGCCGTCGCGCAGATGAAATCGCCGATCATTCGGTCGGGCCGGAAGCAGTGGACAGGTGACTGTCTACCTGTCCGGCTGTCCCCTGACGCGGCTGTGACAGGTAGACGGTGACTGTCTATCTGTCCCTGTCTACCTGTCCGGCTGTCGGGACGGCTGGACTGGGTCGGCCCAGGGACGAGCCCTCGTCGGCCCGTTTTGGGTTTGCCCCTTGCGAGTTCCCCTCTTTGCCCTAGGGCGGGCTGGCGTGTGTTGCCTCGCGCGCCGTCCGTCCGTGGGGCGCGTTATCTCGGCGTTTTCTGTTTGCTCAGGACAGCTATTCTCGCTTGGTCGTGCCCGTCGGCACGCCTCCGCCTCCCCCGTCTGTGTTTGTCCTGGGCGCGTCTCTCCCCGGTGGCCCATATCGCTCCGTTATCGGCGCCCGGCTCGCCGTCCTCCTCACCAAACATCTCTCTCGCGCGGCCGTCGGCATCCCTCCTGTTCCTTATCTCCGGCGCCAGCACCGCCGGCCGGCGTCGGCCGGCGCCGCCCCGCCCCGTGTCGCCTCAGGGCACCAGACGGCGCGCCCGGCGGCCGCCGATATCGACCGCGCGCGCCGGCACAAAGAGCCGCCACGTGACGCGACGGCCGCGTCGACCGGCCAGCCAGCAACAGTTGGCCGCCGGCGGCCCCGCCCTGAACCGTGCGCACCTCGCGCTGGCCGGCCGAAGAACGGGGTTAAAATCGGCGCCCGATGGCTGCTGACATAGTTTGGTTCGGCGCTCGCCGCTCCCGCGCCTGGTGGTCGGGCGGGCGCGCCCAACCCAGATGTGGATCGCGATCGGCGCCGATTTCGACGCGGCGGCTCCCACGCCCGCGCGCGTCGCCAGCCGGACGCCGCTACCTGTCAGTCATTTCCGCCGGGCGGGGCTGTCTGGACGCCGTGCGCAGCTCGCGCGAGTAGTTCGGCCGGCGGCCGCCGCGGCGCTGCGGCGCTGCCGGCCGACCCCGTTCCTCGGTGAACAATCTGGATGGTGGCGGTGATTTACGACCGGCTGGCCGTAATGATGTCAACTGGTGTAATCTATTGGTATTAATTTTAGGCCGCAGGATGGGGACAATGGCGGGCCGTGTTGCGATCATTGCGGGCTTAGCGGCCCCGTTTTCATTTGCGAATCGATCCGGGCCGCGCCCGCATTTACAGTACTCGTGGTTTGTTTGATTTCACTAGGCGATGCGCCGCGCCCGGAGCGTTTTGCATGTGCAGTGATGGCCGCTTTAGTGGTGGAGGATGATGAGGGTTCCCTGAAAAAAATGGAACTTCTTTGGGCGGATAGGCACGCGTCCGCAAGCTTGTCGCGCTGTATACTGAACGCAGTGGGCCGATAGTTCAGGGGCTTGGGAAGTTTGGAATCCGCAAGCCGTCAGCACGCCGACAAGACTCTTAAGCACTTAAATAGAAACCAACTCATAACTGACTGCGACATTGTCCATCCCATGCACTTAGATACCTGGCTGTGTCTCCTGATCTTGTAATATGATCTCGTGATCTCTTAGTTTCATGATCTCATGACCTCGTGATCCCGCGATCTCGTGTTTTCCCGATCTCGTGACGGGCCGTCGCTGCCGACGGGACCGATTCCGGCTCGCCCTGGCGCGCCTGGGCCCAGCGCTCCCAGCTGCGGGTCCCGGTGGCGTGCGGGTGACGCCTCCGACGCCGAGCCCCGCGGGGCTTAATCAGAGGCGACGGCCGAGGGGTGCAGCCGCCGGAAATGAGCACGGGCTGTCGGCAGCCGTCTGGCTTGGCCCCGGGCTCCACCGGCCATGTCACTGCGCCTGCGCACTGCCGCGGGGCTGAGGGGCCCGCGGGCGCTAGCGACCTGCCGGCGCGTGCTGGATCGACGCACTGGGATGGAGATAACTGGCGGTGCGCCGATGACGTCTGGTTGTAATGCGGCGGATTGCTTCTGACGATGTATGGATGAGATCTTCGAGGGTACCAGTTTTGTCAGAGTCCATCAGCGATTGTGCGTGGCCGGCAGCGGGCCATCGCCGATGCGTGACGCGCGTGACGCACCGCCCGTGTCAGGACGAGCGAGAGTCCTCGTCAACCCAAACGATAAGCGAATCCAGGGCCCCGATGCAGCGACATTGCCAGAGCCGGCGCGGCCGGAGGATCACGAGGCGTTCGGACGCGACGTGTGGAAGCTGTCCAGCCGGACAGCTCGGAGGCCTCGGCGTTGGGTGCACCGGAGGTGCCTGACACGGGTCATTGGTTCTCAGAGCCGAGTTCGGCTCGGGAGCGGCGGTCATTTTCCGCGCCGGTGGCGCTGCCACGGTTGCGGCGGTGAGATTTCGCCGGCGGCGCGGAGCCAGCCGACAGACGGCTGCGCTTTGCACAGCGAGGCTGACGGCGGGCGCCGGACCTCATGCCCCCTGGAGGTGACCCCGTGACCCGCGGCGGACGGCGAGGCTCGTTAGCCAGCGCCAGGATGTTCCTTTTGTTCTGGGGCGTCGGAGCCGCCGGTGAGGGAACGGGTGGGTCGTTTAAACCTGCGTCCCGTCGCACTCGGACGCGTTAGCTGTTTGTCTCGACAGCGGGTGCAGCTGTTTTTCTGAGCTGTTTGTGTCTGGTCAGGCACCGACCAACGCGCGGCGGACAACACCGGCCGGGCCAGGACCTGCGGTCATCCACCTTCCCGTCGTCTCGTGAGGTCGGCCCGCCAGTCAGCGGACAGACTGCCGCCACTTCTCGCCATTCCTCCGTCCATCCCTCCTCTCTCCCCCTCCTCTCCTCCCCTCCGCCTCGCCGCCTGGATTCCGCGAACACCGGCCCTCTCCGCGCAGCGCCGGCGCCGGCGGCGGCGGCGGCGGCGGCGGAGGAGCTGGGCCTGGCCGTCCACGGGTCCGCCATCACCGCCATCACCGCCGCCACCGCCGCCACCACCAGCAACGGAACGCTCTGGCTTATCGATTGGCAGCCGGCGGGCGCGGCCGTGCGGCTAGCCTTGAGCGCAATTCTGGGTACTTAGGGTGCTCGCGAGCGGCAGCCGGGATCGCCCCTGCTCGGCGCCCGCGGCGTCCCGCATCACTCATGTCATTACCGCCGCCGGCGGCCGACCGACGCCGGCCCGTGCGCCTGTGGATAGCATCGGCGCGTCGCCGCCGTCGCCGGCGGCGGCGAGCGGGGCGCGGCCGCAGGTGGGTCCCGTCTGGACGACGCCGGCGGCCGGTCGGCCCGCTGACGCAACGTCGGCGGCACGCGCTGCCGCCGGCCGTCGACCTCGACGGCCGGCGTTGTGCGAGCGTCGCTGTCGACGCCGGCGCCGACGCGGCTGGAAATAGGTGCGGCGCCGACCATGCCTCAGAGGGCGCAATGGGGCGCGGTTATTGATCCCGGCGGGCGCCGGTTGGCGGCGGGGGGGGGGGGGGGCGCCTGTCGCCGACCGGCGCCGGGCGTCGACCCCCCTTGCGAAGCCGGGCCGGTCGCCGGCTGGCTCGCGGGCGGCGCCGGCGGCGGCGACGCGCCCGCGCCGGAGGTCCGGGTCGTCTCTGGCCGGCGCCGGTCCGAGCCGGACCGGTCGCGGCTCGTCGTCGCCGGCGGCGCTGCGTTGGTGCGCCGTTATTGGCGCTGTCGGCTGTTGACGCGCCCCGGGCGCCGCTGATTTAGGGGCGCCAGATGAGCGCCGTCAGCGCCGGAACGTCACAGGAGAGCAGGGAACAAGACCCGAACGGCGCGGTGTCTTGCCCCGAACCAGAGTCACCCGCCGGAAACGGGGCGGACCACGCCCAGCTGGTTCAGTGTCACGTCGCGAGGCCGGCGGTGATTTGTGGGGGGGGGGGGGGGGGGGGTCCTAGCGTGCCCGGGGCTACACGGGACCTCTGAGGAGTGTCCCAGTCGGCTGACGGGGCGTGGCTATCGATCAGACCTCGGAACGGATGGCGTCCGTTTCCGGTGTGATGGCAGGTTCGTCTGGCTCTGATTAGGGGGTCCTCACAGCCGTCGGGTCCATTGCGTTGGCACCGTACCCGGCGATGTTTTATCCTGTTGGCATGCGGCTGGGAACAGCGAAACATTATTGACTTCAGTTCTTGTAGGCCAATAAATAATGGAACGGTACTGGCCAAAATGGACGGTAACTGACGTTTTACAGGCGGTCGGTTATGAGCAATAAATGCCGGACAGTTTCAGCGCATTAAAACCAACATCATCATTATTATTTTACGACCACGTCGTCTACACACGATGACGCTGTTGGGACATGAGCTGAGTTTCAGTGGCTCCAGCCCCTGGCTGATTTTGACGTGACTCCTGGTTATCCGAGTCCGAGATCCCTGCTTATCCGAGCTCGAGCTCCAAGCGGCCTGAGCGTCCCACCATCGGCGCCAATTTCCCCTCAGGGCGTCCCCCTGTCCCTGTCGCTCGTGATCCCCGCGTCGCACGCGGCCGACCGGCGGCCCGCGGTGTTTTCATCGCGGCCCGCGTCGTTTTTGTCGGCGGTGGCGCGCCGCGCGCCGCGATCGGCGCGGGCGCGTCGCCCTGCCTCAGCCGCCGCGCCGCCCCCACAGGACCAACAAGGCCTGGCGCAGTAAGAACCCCGGCGAATGGCTGCGAGGCACCCGCCTCAACCTGCAGCAGACCTGGGAGAGCAAGATGCCCAACGCGCTGCTCAACATGGCGTTCAAGATGCGGTACAAGCAGGTGAAGACTGACGACCCATGCGGCGCGCCACCGCGCCGGGACGCGCGGCCGGCCGGCCACGTCCGCCAGCCGTGTTCGCTTACTCTTATTTTGATTTGCTAGCGCTTACGTTTCGTTCCGCACACCCGCTTTCAGGATCGTGGGCTGGTGGCGGAGTAAGGTGCCCACCAGGATGCTGGCCGGCTACAAGCTCGACCTGCAGCGCATGTTCCAGACCAAGCTGCCCACGGCGCTGCTCAACTTCGGTTTCAAGCTGCGCGCGAAGAACGTGAGTACGCTCCTGCAGCCACTGCGCATGCGCTCCGTCCACGCGAGCCTGTCGTGCCGCTCTGCCGCGGGTGTGTCCTGTGCGTCCTCTCGTCGTAAGACACCGATTGCACGCCGTTGGTCGTAAGACGCCGACTGCACGCCGTTGGTCGTAAGACGCCCGACTGCACGGCCCGTGTTAGGTTCGCTCAGCGCTGACTGGTCTGCGGCGGTCTCAGCTGGGCCCCGCCCAAGGGTAGCCGAGCCGAGCCCCGCTCGAAGGCAGCCGAGCCGAGCCCCGCTCAAAGGCAGCCCAGCCGAGCCCCGCTCGAAGGCAGCCGAGTCGAGCCCCGCTCAAAGGCAGCCCAGCCGAGCCCCGCTCGAAGGCAGCAGCCGGCGACGCCGGGGACTCGCACAGCGGTGCGCGGCGTGATGTCGCCGTCGTGCCGCGAGCGCTCCGGACTACAGGCGCTGCGAGCCCACCGCCGGGGCCGGCCGCTGGCTCCGGCGAGCTGCGGTGGCCCTGGAGCCGCCGCGCCGCGCCGCCGGCGCCCGGCCGGTCCTGCAGGCTCGGCTGGCGGCGTGTCGCCGGCTGTCTCGCTGCCTGTGCCATGTCCGGTCATATGGCACGCCAAGTCTGGTAGTTGGTGATGCGAGCTAAGCAAATAAACGGCGTCGCGCGGCCTGGGAATGTTTAGAAAACAGGCTTCCGCTACGTTTGCTTGTTGTCGCACAGCCGGCGTCACTTGCAGTCCGCTACGGCTGCAGCCGGTTTTCCGTCCCATAACTCTTCGGTGATGCGCGTCGGAC